GAAAGCCATTTCAGGGTGAACATGCATCTTTGACCGTTCGAGGTTGAAGAATGTCGGAATGAGATAAAGATCCGTGATTCCGGACGCTAGCTGTATGAGGAAAAGCTGGGGATTGATATGTCAGCGAATGCCAGGAAACATCCCCTCGAAAGGGTTTTAAGTTGTATCAAAGATTTCTCATCATTCTAGAATCAAAGGCCATTCATTCTTGGCCGAGTGACGTATATTCTGAAGTGTTGGTTAAACAAGTCATAGGAAAAATAGAGTAGTGTATTTCTATTCTACTTCATCTTGCTCTTGCTCTTGCTCAAATCCACGAACGCCTAAAATCCAACGACCTGAGGGTATTAACTTCGCATAAATTCATAGATCTAGATATATAGCATGCTTTTTGACGCGTAAAAAAATCAGTCCAACTTTCCATCATCTGCAACATCTGCACTGTCCGCACCCATATTTCTCGCCTCGGTCGTCGATTGATCTAATTGCATGTCATTCATCGCTGCCATTCTCTCATCGACAGTCAATTCACTCTCTGCTCTCTTGATTTTGACAAAGAGTGCCATTATTATTAATGAAACACCTGCACAAGCAACTTCGAACCAAAATACTGCGTGGTAACTTTGTCTCAGGCCCAGTCGATCTAAAGTGTAAGTGTTGATGATATCTGAAAATCCAAGACAAACTGCAATACCCAAATGTAGAATGAGCATCACCATGGAGCCAGCAAGACCTTGCTGTGACTCTGATAGGGAAGTAGTGAAGAATATGTTAGCCACTGTAAATGTTATGTCGATACCAATTGTTGCACATATCATGGCAGGGAATATATATGCCCACTGTATAATTTGTCAGCGTCTGATTAAGAAATATCTGGAGAAAGCTTACATAATTGGCGCCTGCTGGAGCAATGGCAAATAGCAAAGGTGCAACGATCCAGGCTACTCCAGCTGTGACAATAAGGGCTGTTCCTGGTAGTAGGTGGAGAACAAAGCCACCAAGTGTAGAAATTATGCAGCCGCCTAAAGCCATTGGTGCATACCACGCAACAAGCTGTAACGGGGTACCACCCATGACGCCAGTCATATAGAATGTGGCATAAAGTAAGAAAATTCCCAGGGAACCGTAGCACAAGAAAAGTGCAAAGACAAGCGGTACCATGGAGGGGACTTTGAAGAAAGAGCTCGGAATCAAAGCTTGCTTAGTGTGGATCTCGATGTATGCAGCGGTAAGAAGCAACAAGCTCCCGACAATGAATAAAACGTAGATATAGGGCGTCTTCCAGCCATTAGGTGCATGGGCCGAATCGATGATGGCGAAAGTAAAGAGAATTAGTCCCACGACAATGAAAACAGCACCCCACCAATCCATTCTCACTTGATCATCCGTGCCCTGGCGTGCCTCGCGAACTTTCCGCTTTTTGGCAATGTCAGAAGGAATTGTCATGTAAGACGTGATAGCTGTGATGACTGCAAAAACACAGCCAATCCAGAACCACCAGCCCCAAACTGTGAACTCAGCTACCAACCCAGCGAAGAAAATTCCCACGAAAAACCCCAGCGGCGCACATGCTCCATAAATTGCGAAAACCAAGTTCTTCCGTGGGCCTGGTCGATATATGATGCCGATAAGAGCTACACTTGAAGGTAGATACATCGCTGGACCCAGGCCTTGTAATGCCCGACAGAAATTGAGCATTATAAGATCAGTTGAAAATCCACCTACCAGGCTCCACAAAGCAAGCCAAATGAAACCTGCTACATATGCTGGAAATGATCCATACATATCTGATAAGCGGCCGAACACCAAAAGAAAGCAAGCAAGAGTGAGCGAAAAAGCGCTGGCAGGCCATGTCGCCGAGGCCGATGGTATTCCTAGACTGTCGACCAGAGTGGGCAGTATGACTGTGAAACCAGAAACAAAGTATTCCTTTTCCACTGTCAGAGTCTGTGAATTGAAACCAAACAAAAGGAAAAGATTGATAGAACTCACGGTGAGCACCTGTGACATTGAAATTGAAAATACAAATCCAATCTCCGCCCATAGTGACTTGAAGACCTCCGGCCTTTGTCTACCTAGCCTTTCAATCCTTACCTCCGGAGATTCTTCTAACGAATCCCCCAAAGGCGAAAAAGAGTGGGGGTTGTCATTGCTGTTTTGACTGGTGTGCCCGGAGGTTTGACGTTCACCTTCCAATGAGGTTTCAAGATCCCCAACAGAGCCACCGTTTCTTTGATCCATTGCCATGTTATCGGTATCCAAATTTATCTATGTGAGGCTTCTTTTTTCGATAACCTGATGAGCACCTTCACCAAGCTTTTCCTGTTTCTTCGCCACCAATGTGATAGTGGTCAAAGCACTCCAACGGATCCGTAATTGGGGTTGTGAAATTCTGGTATATGTAAGGACGAGAGGGAAGATATATTTTTCTTCTCGATATCCATTTATTGTCGTGGGTAAATGAACTGAAAACTCAAAAGATCGTGGGTATATGGGATGATAACTCGTCGTCAGGTTCCTCAAAAAAAAAGATAACAATGTGCAGAATCCTGGATGTTAAGAATAATATGCTGCATTAAAAGAAAGGAAAACAAATATGGTGTGCTTGCACAAGAGGCGTGCGTCGTCAAGATAAAGGGCGTCACATCAAACCCCTACACCGGAAATATGTATGTGTATATGTAGTTTTTACTAATAAGTCGATCGGCCCAAAAGCCATTAGTAACCCAAGTTCACCGATTCACTGGACAGTGAAGGATGGCAAAAAAAGGAAATGGATCTAAGCGATCATATCACCCAATCCATGCAGTACTTCATGCCTGAATTGAGTAATTGATATGGCGGATTCGATGGCGCTAGACAATTGATCGTAAAAAAAAACTAAAATCCCCAGAACATCTAGATTGAAAAGTAGGTAGTCGAGTAGTAAAAGTAAATGGTAATATATATAGCCAAGACCAATTTGATTTTGATAATGAGGAGCCCGGGTGCTGTGTACCGATTATTTGTCGTGGAACCAAAAGAGGGGGGATTTAAGTACTACTTGGGTCTATTAAATGGGATGGTATTTGCTTACTCCGTAGGAGAATTTCTGCGTGTTCTGGGTGTTCTGGGTGCCTTTGTACTCGGGTGTACATACCCAATTTCACCTAAAGGCCAAACCCACGAGTCAAGCCAATGAGAGCGCGACTGAGCATACTCTGTGACCCAAGGCACAAAGAAGCTGTGGGAAGGTTTGAACCATGCTCGTTTGTTGGCTTTGTGATGGCCTCATCGAAACTCTGTAAAGAGCAATGGATGGAATCGCGAGATGCTGACCAAATACTCTGATGAATTGCGCAATGAAAGAACGGATAATAGCATACCATGTCAAAGCAGGTGTCCATTGACAGATGGAGCATCACCGTTGAACATTATCGTGATGCAGAAACGAAAAGTAGAGGATAAATAAGTTGAAAGAGCTGGGAACGCTTGCGTAACATTTGGGAAGAATTGATGCAGCTCGGCATACTTTTGGTATCGACATGGAGTTCGTTTGGGGTTGGAGCTCCAGACAATTGAGATTGATTGACGCTACTAGGTAGGTAGGTGCTAGGTAGGTATTTGACAAGCAGTTGTCTGTCTGAGTTTTCGATATATGGAGAAACCTCTCACTTGGGACTCGGAATTGGATGAGGATGTGAAATTGTGAATGCCTGCCTATGTATGAGGCTGATCCGAACTTTATGTTTGTGGTTCGGGAAAAATGGGTTTGAGGACGAAAAATGATGTTTTGGAGTTACACAGGTCGGCGCACATAAAACGTGATACTAAAATCACGAGAGAGTCACAAGAGTCGCACATATCACGTGCACAATTCACCGAGCAAACAGGGCAAAATGCACCCGAAAGCGCGCTAAAAAAGCTAATGAATTTTTTTCCAATATAAATATCTCGCTCACCTCCCGGAATCCCTCTTCTCTTTCTTCTTCATCATCAGTAGAGGTTATAATTAATACTTATAACATTTACATGGGGGCTTCGCTACGGCGACTTGCTGAGGGTTATCCTTTACTTCTTCGAAGTAAAAGTTGGGTTTTCTTCCGTTCCCGGCCCCCTTGAATGAAGGTGAACACTCTTCCTTATCAGCCGTCTTCGACGATTCTATCGGATTTTGACTGTGGGGTGGTCTCTACATATCTTACTCTGTGCCATTGCTTTTTTGTGAAAAGAAAGTGCGCATTGAGTAACAATCTTGCATAATGGATTTTTATGGTAAATCTATTTGCTTTGTGCGCTCCTCGTATTGTGGCCAATATACATATACGCAGCTTTGTGGCTGTCGTGTGTATATGGGAAGTAGTCTGATAGCTAGTAAATTTCCGTAGTGTAAAACTTGGTGTGCAAAAGTGATGAATTTTCAAAGTCGTGTACTCCAAGCATTTCTGCTGTGTTTTTCCGTGTCCCAAGTGAGGTCTTCTTCTAAAGTACGTTGTCCTTGATTTCCTGATAGCAACCAGTTAACATGCTGCCGAACATGCAAGCTTAAGAACATGTCGTATTCGCTCATGAATAGGTGACCATTGCATGTTCTCCATACATCAGAGCCAAGGAACTGGAATTTCAGATTCAGCAAGACGTTTGCTCTGCATTATGCTCTTCCAAGGATCTCTTTCGTGCAATGGTGGTTCTATTGGATTTACAGCTGTGTCGCAGGATGTACGTTGAGGCTCTCGAAATGTCGGATTTGTAGTGCCGCCAATGGAGTGTTCGCGGATGCGCACAATTGAAAGAAAAGAAACCGCGTGTAGTCTAATGTTAATCAACATATAAATCACAATTACAATTGTGATGAAATAAATTCGAAAGTTTGACATCATCTCAAGTCTCCATATCACTCGGTGAAATAAAAAATTATGATTGGCTGTAGAACGTTCATTGCTTGTATTGAGTTTTTGTTTTACCTAACTACTTGCAATAATCCCACCACATACCACTTGCTCAATAAAGAGAAGGGTAATCTAGTAGAGGCGCTTGGGTGGAGACATAGATGCCTTGATGGTCAAGCTGCCAACGTTTTGCCATCCCTTCTTCAACAAGGAGACGAGGTAGTTGATAGACAACATGATGTTGGAGATCAATTGGTCCTCAGTCATCTCGACGTTTCCGACAGCAACACCCATACACAAGACCTTCTTCAATTGGAACTTGATGGTGGACTTGACTTCGTTGATCTTACCGCTAAGATCTTCGTTGTGGGAGACTGGGGTTGGGAATTTACCAGCTGTGAAAAGCAATGTTAGTCAAAGTTATATGATGTTGGGAACGGATAAAAACAAACCCTTGGAAAGACCGGGACCCAAGAGACGGGGAATTTGCTTGATCAAGGTGTCGGAAGCGACGAAAGCATCGTACTTGCGTGCGAGCTTCTTGATCAACTTCTTGTTCTTGTTGAGCTTCTTCAAGTCATCAGCGGACATGGCGTCAACACCACCGTGCTTGGCACGATCGATATCGTGTTGATCACCGAGAATGCTATCCATCAATCAGCCTTTGCCTCCCCCATCATATATATTCGACTTCGTGGACATACCAAATGCTCATGTTTGGGCGGGGAACGACTGGGAGACGGACGGTTCCGGAGAAACGCTTGTCACGTTGGGGATCATAGTTCTTGAGGCCGATTTGGAGCTCGACGGTCTCGAGGAAGTTTCTCTTCTTGGTCTCGAGAGAGTACTCAAGAAGACTTTGTACGTTGGTACGCACTCCGGCTGTGAGGCGAATACGTTAGTATTTGTTTCAATTGATTTTCTCAATGGAGAAAGTATTCCTGGCAAACAGCGAAAGGCGATAACATACCGACTGTGATTTTAGACATGATGACAGTCTTCCAGTAGAATTGATAAAGTTCTAATGGTGAGGTTTGGCGTAGATTTGTCGATAATAAATTTGGGAATCAAAATTTTCGAAATTGCAATATGGTGGGGAAAAAGTTCGGACCTTTTAGCGAGAATTCACGTGCTATACAGTCATCCAATCAAGTACGGCTAACACTACTAAGTAACGCGAAAGACAATGACTCTAAATGCTTCACCTCCAAATTCTACTCTAATATTCCTGGCCAAGATAACTACCACACAATACAATTTATGTAATTACAAGCATATTGACACTCAAAGTGATACTGATGATCAAATATTCACGTTCTTAGAGCTCAAGTATGCTCGAGTGCTTAGTGTTCCAAGTGGACAAGCAGCGAATCAATTGACTGGGCTGCTAATGATATCACTGGCGTTACTGGACCACTAGTTCAAAAGCGCGTGTTCTTTGCTCAAATTCTGTATTTCCTTGCTATGAAATTCAAATGAATGTTGTTGCACTATCAGTTCATCACAACCGCAATCATGACATGGCAATACACTCCAAAGTAATACAAGACCTCCTTTCCCTATCATCTTTGAGCCTGAGTTCTAGTGAGCCAGATCACTCTCCAGATTTGAGCTTTTCAAAGTAGTCTACCAAGGACTTCCACATTGAAAATGGATTCATTGTTAGACCATAGTCCAGACTATTGAAATCACTCATGCTGCCAAGGTTGTAGTGACAGTCTCGCTGATCGTTGAACATCCTTCCTCGCAACCCGTGCAAAAATTTGGGTACGCCGTCACTGTGAGCGTAGTAGGGCATAATGTTTTTGAGGCTGGGAAAGTGATAGTGTTGATCACAGTCTGAATACAAACTAGGCGTGCAGGACAAGAAGTTTTCGATGGACATAAACCTACACATTGTAGGTTAGTTCTTTTTAAATGTCCAAAAATATTATACGTTCACATTTCAGCTCTACATACTGTTTGGTGCAATTGTGATGTATGTAAAGCACGAAGTCAACTCCTGGGTTTGGTCACCTTGAGGAGCTGCGAACGCTGCACTGCTAGATTGGGAACGCGGATTAGTTAGAATCTCAAAGATGGTCTGGCTCACACGAAGGGCTCGCTCTCACCTGAGGATCATTGCCGCGATGAGAGTTTGCAACTTTGCCATTTCGATGTTGGTATCTGATTGAATGTCTGGTTATGGTGGAACGTCCTATGCAGGTCAAATTTTCGAGTCTTGAAGTGTGTGAGTTATCATGAAGGGAATTTCTGTGGAATAAATCTTTTTTCTAGGTTCATCTCTTTCCAATAAATGCGAGAAATTTCTCGTACATGAGCTGACGACTTCCCACCCGAAGTCTTTTAGCTGCTACCCGCTTCTTACTTGTTCGGGGATTTCACCTTGATGTAAATAGACTGCATAGGACAACAGATTTACTATAGTTTTGACACCTATCCATACTTGATCCTATGAAGGGGTCTGCACCATGCGCTTAATGATCTCGAACACATTCAATCATGAGTATACCAAATTGTTAAGAAGTTCACCTGACAGGTCGATGTCAGTTGTATTTATAGGGCGGAGAATCAACATTGCCACTTCGGGAAAGATTTACACTACGGTGGCATCCCCGATTGCTGTGCTCGTTAGCGGTCAGCATCGACTACTAAAATTGAGACAAATATCTTACCCCGTGTCAAGCTTTCCTCCAAGCTTTCCTCTCCGAATGCACCACACGAGCTTGCGCCCTTGTTCGGCCCTTCACTATCTCAGTCAAGCGCTGGACTATCTCGTCTTATATTATACAATGCGATCATTTGTGTTGTAATTAATTTTCAAGTGATGACTTTACAGGCTGATGTAATCCAGATCCTTATGCCCCATACAGAGATTCCAATCTCAAAGCAACATGTACCATGGCCAAGCAGCCACTCCCTCTCATTTCGGCCATCCTCTTTCAATCCTCAGAACGACAGTCCGAACGACGACGACTTGTTCAACGGGCTTGACGAAGCCTTTGCTCCGCAAAGCATCGGTCCGCCAAATCAAGTTCAAGAAATTCTACCCAACGACTTCACTATTTCCGACAGAACGAGAGAGGCAGTAGCGATATACGGTGAACAACTGGTTTCGAGCCAAACTTTCACATATTACCAGAAACATCCCACTTTCAGGAAGCGAAAGGTTTATTTCTTCCATCTATGCAGAAGACTAGCAAGTAAACCGTTGCCAAGTTGAAGTATCGCAATGCTTACTGCCAACAACTTGCAGGTCTGGTTGCAAACTAGTGAGCCTTAAAGGCACCCAAGCTCTACTATTATCACAAGATGGTTTCTTACTGACTACAGTATATCGGATCACCTATAAGTCATTGAAGACCAAAATAAATTATCAAGCTGACTGAAGATCTTCTCGGCTGTCTTGATTACTCTTGTTTTTAATGACATGGTATAGCATCACTTGAGCCCCTTTTCTTAGATGATAAGATACGTTCACTCGCTATACCCATGGTGTTCAGTTGTCCCCCTCGATATTCCACTAGGTCTCTTTCCATTGATAACATGTATCCTGTATGTCACTCTACATTCAACAATGCCGTCATGTCCTCGAGGTGTCTCGATTTCTAGTGGATAAATCTATAGTTATTGAAGTCCTCATTCAAATATCGGTTTCGGACAGGCACATTTGTAAACTGATTTGGTAGATGGCCTCTTGACTGTGGTATACTTCATTTAGTATATCTGAATAGGATTACTACAATATGTTAAGGTAGCGAAAAAGACCATCAACAAAGTCTAAGAATATCCGGGTCATAACGCACAACTTTTGACGACACCAATGAAGTAGTCGTCCTAAATCATATCTCCTCTTCTTCTCTGTAGATACTCTTTCCTCTTCCTTGATGTTTGACAGCCAATTGTTCTATGGTTTGTAAAATCATAACCCCCATATATTTCATAGAAAGTTTATGTTTTCTTTCACTCTTGTCCAGACTTCACTTTCATCACTCTTCACAGGATGCATGGATAATTTTGTTGTCAAAAGCTTCAATCAATGCAGCCGGTCACCCGGCCGATGTCTTCAGACCACAACAAGACAGCCATACAATCACAAAATCTAAAATCTTAGAGCAGAGTTTTTACCTTTCATTTCTCACTTTCCAACTTCCTTTCTATTACTTCTTTACCTTTCTACACAACCACAATAACAACCATATGCAAAGAAAAGACAAACATAGCCTCTAGTACACACATCACTCCCATCTCTTCTTTGCAACAACATTGAAGTCTTTATTGCTTCAGTAAAGAATAAATAATTCTTTCCAAGCAAACAACCTTCTCAATTCCCTCTTTCTTGGCTACCTCACTCTCAATTTGCAATCTCGCCATCAACCAAAACGCAAAACTCATCTCAACTCGAGACCCGCGTTTTAATGCCGGAAGAAATAGCCCTTGCAATAATCATCGAGATAGCAATTCTTGGATCAATCTTTGTCGTGAGAATCTTACTACGCTTCATTCAATATAACGAGGTGAATCGAGAAATCTTTTTTATCCTCTTACTTTTGGCAATATCAGGTGTTATCTCATCTTCGATCTACCATCTCAACTAAAACCCAAAATCGAAATCGAAAAAAAAACAACCACTCAAATAAAGCTCTACAGCAGCCAACATGCCACCACCACCACCATTACCAACTCCCACTCAACCTCCCCTCACCAGTGTTCTCGCAAAACCAAAAACAAAGGGCAAGATCCACGTCTCCTTTACAGACTGGGTTTTGGGCGGCTCACTCCTCTCCATCAATTCTCCCAATCCGAGTAATGTTGCTCCTGCAGCTACGCGCCAGAGAAATGATAGTCGTATCAGAGCAACGGCTACGAAGGATAAAAATGGGAGAAATATTGTTATTCTGGAAGATCGGGAACAAGACGGAATGGTGGGAGAAGTGGAAATGCTTGTTGTGAGGAAAGTTGGTAAGAAGAATGGGCATAAGAGAAGTAGGAGCGGGAGTGCGGGAGAGGTGGTGAGTGTCAAGGCGAAGATTTCAGAGGAGGTATTGGAGACGGTTGTGGAGGAGAGTAAGGAAGAGAAGAAGGCAGAAAGCAAGGAGGAAGTGAAGGATGAGAAGAAGGATGAGAAGCAGGAAGAAGTGGTTGAGGTCAAGAAAACCGATGGTGATGATAAGGGTGAGCATGTATTGAATTTGCAGAAAGATGGAGGCGGGAAAGAAGAGGCAGTGAAGGTGGTCGAGGAGAAGTCTGAGGAGTCAAAGCCAAAGGGTGAAGAGCCCAAAGCTGATGTTGTCATCGAAATAGCTGCAGTCCCAAATACTGAAGACAAAGATAAAGATAAGAAAGCCGAACCGGATGTCGTTATTGTCGAGGTCCAAGTCAAGGAAAAGGAAGATAAAGACAAGGGCAAGGATGAGAATAAAGATAAAGATGTCAAAGAAACATCCAAAGGCGAGGATGACCCCAAGTCTACTACCACTAAGCCTGAGGAACCAAGCGCTGATACCACAGTCACAGCCACAGATTCAAAAGAGAAGACCCCTTCTGTTACTGATAAAGCTACAGAAAAGGCTGCCGAAGCAACTATCGAGACTACAGACGAGAAGAAGGATGAGAAGGCAGAACCCGTTGACGGAAACGAATGGACCAACGAACAAGACTCAAAACTCATGGCCATGAAGAAAGAAAACAAGACCTGGAAGGAAATTTCTGGGGAATTAGTTACCGGCAAGAAAGAAGTGGTGGCACGATACAAAGTCTTGCAAGAACAAGAAAAGACCGAGAACGAAGAGGAAAAGGCAGAGGTAGAAGAAAAGCCCAAGAAGGCCGAGAAGAAAAAGAAGATCAAGTGTACCGCCCAAGTCGACAATGAAGATACAGAAGAGGAAATCTATATCTCACCAGATTGTCCCTACCATCAGCCCAAATCCAATGCTTCCGCTGCGTCTGCTCCAAAACAAGAAAAGAAGAAAAAGCGCAAGTCTTATGGAGAGCTTGATAGAGATAGAGATGATGAGGATGAGGAACAGGAAGAACGTAGGCAGGGAAATGGACATGGAAATCAGCAGGGACATCTTCGACCGGATAAAATATGGTCAGCAGAAGATTGCGAAACTCTGGAGTATCTGATGGAGAAACATAGGAGTACACAATGGTTGCAATTGCAAGCTGGATTCTTCAATTATACGGGAAGAATGGTTAAGGCTGAGTTTATCGAAAGAAAGTTTAGGAAGGATGGACTTGCTTGATTAAGGGTGGTTGGTAGAAAAAATCTCCAACGGAGATAGATGGAGATTGATTCTATTTGTTTTCATTTGAGTGGTTTGTTTTGGAGGGAAATCGACATTGAGATTGGAATGCGAGTTTTTGATATATTTTTGCATCAGTTATTGGTCTTGATGTCGTTTTTACATAATCTGGGGGTTGATATTGAGGAGGGCATGGGGATCAGCTGCCTCATTTTGAAATGCCGAGCTCATTTGTTCACAAGTTTTTTCTTTCTTCAGCACTTCTGACATGAGCCTTGGTCTCGTGTGCCAGTTTCTGCTTTGAATGGATGGTAATGGGAAGAGCCCCAGGCTGTGCAGAAGCGCTGGTTGGTATGATCGAGATTGGGACGGTGCAAATGCGTGCACGTTTAGTCGGTCAAGTGAATCCTGATGTTAGAGTACGTAGTTTCGAGGTCATTAGACGAATTATTCAGATAATCATTATGCAATCTCTAATGTTCTTTGGTTCCTACAAGAAAGTCATTTGTGAAATACAGCGGATCTAAACACTACCTAGGTATTTTCCATAAACGAATCCCCGAGAACATCACAACATACGTCGAAAGGCTCCTAGCGGTAATTGTGAAGAGGAGTTGTCTTTGTTACTACAGCGACGATTATGTAGACCCACAGTCAAACTTGTTTACTCGAGTCCAAGTCCAAATCTTTTCATACTCATGGCAATTGTAGAATACCATTGATCGTCAAGAATCAATATATGACGTTTAGCGGTATATCTCTCATCTTGGCAACCTCCCCCTTCCATTCCATCACCAACTTTTGATATTTTTCACAACATATGTTCCTAATCACCAGGAAAACTCATCTAACTTTATTGAATAAAAAATGAATAGAATTATCTCCCGCATATCGACTTGTAAAAATCTCCCACGACCTCAAGAAACCCCCAAATACTCGTTTCAATATATCGAACATTCGAGACCAGATATCGAAATTAACTTTCGCCAAGAAGGGAAAATCCCGTCATCAACGAAACCAGGCAGCTTTACGTGAGTAAATCAACTCAAAAAAGCGCTACGGGCCCGTTATTTCGTGCATGTGCCATTAATCCGAGCTAGTATATGTAGTTAGTTTTCTAAGTGGAATACTAAAACCTTGATATGGATTTTATTGGTGGAGCGGTTGAACTATCGGAAGTAATGATGAACTTTGAATTGAGGGAATATCGGATTCTGGATCTTGGAATGGGATTTTCCATCAAAATCGCATTAATTCGTGTCATAGTATACTATGCTATACTATACCATAGAAGGATAAGTTCTCTAAGGACTAGAACTGGATTCGCAAACTCAAAAATGGTGGGCTAGCTCCTATGCAATAGATAGAATATCCCTCTCTACGTCTCTCCCACCTCCTACCTTCTACCAAAACACAAGTAGGACTTCTCTCATCAGGTTTACCATCATTTACATGCACATACATGCACACACATGCACACACATACACATACACACACACATACACACACACATACACACACACATACACACACACACACAAACATAGACATCTTAATTTTTAATCTCGATTCTCAATATCTTCGACACCAAAATGTCCATGGCGCCCAACAATATGTCGATGCTGGAAGCAAGTTTTGAGCCAAGTGGAAGTGGCCACCGAGGAAATGATAATGACGAGCAAGGTTTCCATCAAGAAAACAGTAAGAATACTACTAGCAAATCAAGTGGGAGAAGATAACTCATATATATTAGGTTGCGAGAAGAGCTCCGGGATGGTTCATGAGAAGCCGGCCAAAGAATCGATGTTTTCAATGTTCGAATTCCCAAAGTCAGAGCCAGATTTGAATGCACAGGAGACGAAAATCGAGAAAGAGAAGAAGAAAGAGACCGAGAAAAAGATCAAGGAAAATGAGAAAGAGAAGAAAGAGAAGAAAAAAGAGACTGAGAGAAAGACCAAGGAAAATGAGAAAATCGAGAAAGAGAAGAAGAAAGAGATTGAGAGAAGGATCAAGGAAAATGAGAGAATCGAGAAAGAAGCCATAGAGAAGAAGAGAAAGACGGACAAGAAGATCAAAGAAGAGGAGAAAAGAATAGCGAAGGAGAAAGCGAAAGAGATGGAAAGGAAAATTCAAGAGGACACGAAAAGAGAGAGGGAGAAAATAAACTTTGAAAAAAAGAAGATTGAAAATGAAATAAGCCAAATCAAGGCCCAGTACAAAGAGAGGCAGAAGAGAATTGATCTGGCAAGAAGAGAACAAACACGAGTACACGCGCGGGATGGTCAAGCGCCTGTCGACACTCGCATAGGCTTGCCGCAAGAATGGCGTTATCGTGATGGAAGGGCGAAGTACGAGAAAAATCATCAGATAGAACAGTTGAAGTCGGAATTGAAGGCACTGGACTTGCAATTGATAATGGCAGGAGAAGAGGTATTACGATTCTACCAGTCGAAAGTAGAGGATGAAATATCCAAGGAGCAAGCGAGAGAACGGTTGAGAAAATCCACACAGGCCAAAAATCCTGTAGCGCCGCAACCCGGACAAACAGCACAATCCGGTGAAGAAGAACTCACTAAGAAATTCACCTTGCCGGTCGTCTCCAAAGAAGTCAACTCTTCTATGGTAGACAATCCCTTCTATGCGCCTGGCGAGCTCAAGTATCATATGATGGGAGAATGGGATTCCGACACTTGCAAGGAGTGGATCTATGATTCTCTTGAGAATGGCCTCACAGAATTTGAGAAAAAACAGCTAGACTGCCGTTTAAAAAGAATGCCAGGTTTCTGCGGAAAACGCATGTTTGCGGCGACAGAAGAGGAGTGGGTTAAGTGGTTGGCTACCGATGGTCTACTGATCCATGACAATTTGCAGAAGATAGCTGAAATGGTGAAGGTGGGCATGTAGAAAGGGAAAGGGGGTATTTATATGAGTGAAAGAGGAAGCGGTTATGAAGTGGTGTTATAGAGCCCGATATTATATCGAAAGAAATGTAAAATGGATCAAAGGGAGAGGACTGCTCGCTTGAACATGCCGCTTATCGATATACTGCAGATACACCACATAGCTGACAACACAATCTCAAGGTTGATAACAGTGGTTCTCCTCCTAAAAGTAGAAATTCAAGCCGTGAAGATATCGTCCGCTATTTGTTCCAATCCATAATTATGATCAGTTTATTTGTGAGCTTTTTAGACACCAGTAATCAGTACCATTTGCCCATTCGCCATGGAGAATTAACCTACACCAACCCAGCCCATTCCGGTCTTTTGTAGCCTGCTTGGCCAAAATCAATATACTAACACATAAACAAGTATTTACACCATAAATTTGAATTTATACCACTCCACCACTGTTCCAACAAATGCTGAATTATCCCAAAGCCTTCTGAATCAAACTCTTACTGGTGTCGCTCATTGGTATCTGCAAGGCCAAACGATGTCCTTCCTCACTCATCTTCCCCCAAGTCTTTCTCAAAATTGAGATGATTTTCTCTTCATCATGACCCTTCTCAAAAGCATCAAACTGATCATCCAGGAACACTAGACAGGCAACGTCCTCCAAGATCTGCGTCTCCTCATTTTTCTTCAAATCCTCTTTCCTTATCAATCTAGCCACTTCTTCCGCTTCCTCACTTGTAAAATTGCAACCAACACATATCGCCGATGCGAGATCCGCTTGTCGTTTCTTGAGAAAGGTCCTCCAATTCAGATACCCGGGTTTGGTCATCGGGTAGGAGGATCGTGGTACCTCCCAGCGTCGAAAATGCTGTGCTCGGATAGCAACTTTGAGGACGGGAGAAGCATTGGGAGCGCGGAGAGAGAGATAATGGGTCATTTTTTGGGCATAGTGAAGCTCGTATGGTATACTCTCGCCATTTATTGTGCTGATAGTTGGATCTAAAGCATGAGCTTCATCAATCAAAGTGATGGCAGCTTCGTAGTTTTCCGCCGCCATTCTGTGGGATGTTTGGTGCTTGTAGCTTGTTTGATAATTTGATCAAGCTTCGGGAAGAGTATCCGAAGAAAACTAGAAGTACCTGGGCAATTCACAGTTCGTTTTAATAGACAATCCGTGTTTGAGTAGTCTTCCTGTTGATGGGAAGGTATTCCTATCTTCGTTTTGTTTGCTTCGTAAAAGGGAGCTGGGAGAAGAAAGCGATAAGAGAACGATAAGATGCGGGGTGGTAGCGACGCGATGAAGAACCAGCCTCGCCAGCCAAGCCAACCGAGCCAGCCAATCACCGCAAACACTTACAAATAAGACATTCCCGACCCCGACACACTGGTCACAATAATTTCAAGTTCCGCCCTGGAGGCTTCAACAAGCTCTTCACTTCATTTGCGGTTGCATTTTTGGTGTTAAGCTTCATAACAAGACCGCTCGCCGACATTACAGAATTCAATTGCACACTATCGTGCTTTAGTAGTTTCCTAGCTGCTGACATTTGCCAATGACTTTACAAGTGTAAACAAGGCACTGAGTTGAACACAGGGTTACTGTTCAAACAATATTGTCGGCAACGGAGGACATTGAACTGCAAAGGTATCCATCTATGAATGATGATGAACATGCACACAGTCATTTGGCATAGTAGCAAGTACAAGTCCTTGCGAATTCGTGGGAACCAACAGTAAAAGAGCTTGTCGACTCGTATCGTCCGGTCTGGTCGGTCGACACAGTATGAGCCGCGCGCTTGAACAGAATGACCAGACTTCGGCCGGTTCCCATCTCGCATCCTGCGCTGCAGTGCAGACTTTTATTTTTTGAAGCGCATTTCGAGATTCATATTGCAATATCTAGATGCTTGATGTTCCTCAACTTTGATTGATAATTATGTGATACCTCTGAGGTGCAGGAACGACCGATCGTCAGAATTTGAGACTCGATTGTTGTTATGAGTGAAATTGGAGCCTACCATTTTGCTGGCGATTCTTCTTGTACAGACGAAAGAACCATTCGAGGTCAACCCACATGGTCGGTAGCAAAGGATCCTTTCGTTTTACCTGAGGGCAGCATAAGACCACATTGAACCTCAACTCTCCTATCAAAGTTTCATACAATACAGCCAATCCTACCCCCTAAAATATATGGTCGATGTCCCAATTGCAGAGACCTAGTGCTTCATGCGAAAAGAATACACCATCGATGGGGATGCTGGCTTCTAATGCCATTCTTTAGCCCCATGCACATGTTATCGGAGAAGCTGGCGGAGACAGTCTCATGTAGCTCTTCAAAAGAATCATAGCTTGGCTTTATCGCGGCCGCAGGGTCAGTGAACCCTTGGGGCAATCATTGCGCCACCAGGATCAACGGGGACAGTCATGTAATCTGAATGTAAACAGGTCTCTAAGCTTAACTGGAGGCCGGATACACAAGAACCGCGAAGCCCAATTTGAAGGTCTTGTTGGAAAAACCTGCGCCTAATATAATGTTAGATTAATACACCTTCGCATCTTCCTTTTCAAGCATAATTTATCTGCAACCCCGGAATCTACAGTGTCGAACAAAGTAGCCCCTAGCACTAAATACTTTCGACATGTCGTCGCATCATGATGCTAGCAAGCCTAGTGCTAGAATCGAGAAAATCAAGAGTGGTGTTACTTCACCATGTGAGTTGCTTTCCCAGCGAGCTACACAGCCGGAAATCTATCAAGAGGAGTTCGTCTAACACAAATCTTTAGATAAATTCAGAGACTACGACTTGCAGGTCCTGAATAACTGCACAGTAGAACTGGATGTGGCAACCTTAGATGATTTATTTCGCGACTATTTCTCAAATGATTCTCATGATTCTCATGAAAAGGAAGTAAGCACAATTGTAAACTCTCTCAGGCCTCAATCCTCAATTCTCAATCCTCCATCTCAACTACTTGATAACTTTACCCCCTCACTCTATCATTACTTCTATTAACCTACCAACGTTTTAGTGGGCCTATTGGCGAATAACAGAAGAGAGGAATAGAAATGGAAGAACCAACTTTTCCATTTCAAGATATCATCCTACTTGTAAGAAAATGCCGTGTAAGTTCACCTAGTATTTCAAAATGACAACTGCTGGTCTGTATAGCATAAGCGTCTACTGACAAATAACGAAGACCACACGTCGAGCAACAAGAAAGTTTGGATTACCAATTATGCCGGCGACCAAAATTACCAAACGGTACGTGATCGACTTGAAAGTGACAGTACATTCAACGCATTTGTAGAGAACGAAAGCCACTGGAAACTTGATTGGGACAAGGAGAAGCGTCAGCTTACCCTTGAGGAAATGATTAGTGGCAAACCAAAGGGAAGAGAACACTCCCGATCCCGCTCCCGCTACAAGAGACCGGAGAGCGAGACTGTCAATGAAGATTCAAGTAGCACTTCTGGCGACGATAGCTTGGGGATGAGGAAAATTCGCTCGCATAGATCAATGCCAAGTCCTTTTCCTGGCTATACACATTCACTTGTCGAAAGCCAAAATTCGGAGATGAAGTGGAGTGGTAGACCCGAACCGATCAGTCCTTTGTCTTTGTCCATAGGTATTCACAAACAGGATCGAACTGTTCCATGTAAGTTATTGCTCTCGTATTGGTATATCTTGGAAGTTTACTGAATTGTATCATAGACTACGGATATTACCTGACAAATAGTACACGATTTGGTCTATGGTGGGATGAAATAGTCGATATATTACTCTCCAAAAAAATCATCAAACCCCCCAGCGCAAAAGGACCGAAGGAGAGAGGCAGACTCATCGAGGAAGGCAAAATGATAATGATTCAATTTGGTCCTGGCTCAGTTAACTCCGAAGCAGGTATGAAATATTCTGTATCAAAAATCTCCAATCTATGTGATGCAGTTCGTGGAACTCCAAAAGATTCATGTACCCATGAAAGATACAGGGTCAAGACTTGTAAGTATTCGAACCCTGCGACTCAAGGTTGTCATGTTGTAAAAATGCTAACACATTGCTAAGATTCGCTTCTGGAATACAAAAACGGTACTATGGTCGACGAACAATACCCCTCGATATCTATTCGTAATAGACTTAGGAATAAAGTCGCATATAAGAGTGTCCTAAGCGGACTTGGCAAATTACTAAAAGAACCAGGTGGAAACGTCATCTTGGCCAAAAACAAAGGTGAAATATGGAAACTCATACAGAAAAGTGATGGAACCTATCTCTCAAAATCGAACGCGCTACGACTCCGCATAACAATACATCCACTTGCAAGGCGTCAATCGGACACTTCGTCAAGCGGACATTATTCTTCTAGCGACGAATCACAAAGAAGTAGAAGGCCCGACTCATACTCTGCTCATAGAAGTTCTCCTAGTGTTAGCCGTCGTGACAGCAGTAACCCGGACAGAGCACCAGCGAAAACGGAACTTCGACCCTCTCGTGCCAGAAGTTTCGCACACTCGGCACGCGAGGGAAGTTTCGCACTCTCAGCACACGAGGGACGTATCAGAAACCTCCCCGACTACAACGAAAGTCGCGAACCACACAGAGCTGCCACCTCACGCCCGAGCTCCGGCGTGGAGTCAGATGTCGTGCGACAAGATATTTCTTTTTTCCATCCTCCAACAGCCGGTCATGGGAGTGTAGCCTCAAGCACACATTCAAATTCACACGCACAAACACACACAGCAGAGCTGAAAGAAAGAGATCGCAAACCCTCAAAATTTAAGGTGGCGAGTTTTTTTGGCAACAGACGGGAGAAAAAGCACGAGCGGAAAGAGGAAAAGCTGGCGAAGAAAAAGAGGAAGGATGAAGAGCGGGAAGAGAAAAGGGAACCGTGGATGGAAAGAAGGCTGATGAGGAATAGAGGAGATTATTCGGATCGGGAATGGAATGATGGGCGTGGAGAGAGGGCGAGGGAATCCTCGTCTAAGAGGAAGTTGAAGATTGAGTTCTCTTATCAGGGGCGTGGGAGAAGATAGAGGGAAAGTAGTGTATGAGTATTTTGAAGAGGTTTGCTTTGCTTATCTTTGTTGTTAATGTTGTTGTTGTCATTTTAACTTCCACTTTTTTTTTTGAGATTTAGCGCAGTCTTTGGAATTTTGTGGTTATTTTATCTGTTCCTGTTCTATAAATATATAATTCCCCTCATACTCAATCTTTTCTATTCTTTCTACATTAGTATACAAGTATATAAGTATACATACTCCGCACAATACACACAATACATACAATCCCATTCCCCCCAACTTCCCACAGAAATAAATGAGAAAATTCAATTCAATAAATTCATTTAGATATGTATTAAGTCGATATCCATTTTTGAAATTGCTATGTATAGGTATTTATATACGAGAGCGGATTTGTAATTTTATATATGTATATCTATCTGTCTATCGATCTACTTATGTATATATATATCTATCTAGGTAGGTATCTATATAACTCATATTCATATTCATACGCATGTAATTATAATTATAATATTCCACCGCATGCTAGAAGATTCATGTTATTATATGATGTTAGTTACTCACTCACTAACTTACTGTATGCATATATGTATGTATGTATGTATATATACGAAATGTAACTTGTGCGCTTGCGCTCGGGTAGCTCGGATAGAATGTAAGACTACGATGAGTAGACAGACCATTTATAATTTACAATTTATAATTTATAATTCATAACTCATAATTTGTTTTGCATAGGTATCAGAAATGGGATTTATGATGGGACATCAAAGTTTGAATATTGTGGAAATAGAAATGGAAATGAAATTCGGATAGGGATAGAGATAGGAAGGGGAAGGGGAAGAGGAAGAGGAAGAGGAAGAGGAAGAGGGATATCATATATCCTAATATTTGCATATCCCGCAATGAAGGGTGCGATGTATTATATAACCTATTACACCACCCTCACCTCTCATCTACCGAAAAACCAGGGGGTCATTACGGTTAGAAACTCTCTCTGCGTTTTAATTTTAATTCTATAACATAACATAATATAACATAGCCCAACCCAACAGCAAAACCCCACACCAATCCAAGTAAAACAACCCCATCAATCAATACGACATCAAAAAACTATTCACACTCTGCAACGTCGCGCGACTCGGATTCGCATCTGGCATCGAAGTAGAAATCCAGGATAACCTCTGACGAACAAACTCTTTATTTACCGCAGCCTTTCCATTCTCTTCCTCTTCCTCTTGCCTCGCAATTTTCAAATCCCCACGATCGTCGAAATACAGACAGAGAAGAGCAAGTGCCACACCTATCGAGAGATCCTGTCCAGATTCACACGCGATGATGATTTGGATTGATGCATCTGCAGATGTGTGCGCAGAATATGTGTGGAGGTACTCGAGGAAGAAAGAAGAGATGGTTGGGAGCGCGACGCGGAGATTCTTGCTGCCTAATTTTTTGGCGCCGAGTCCGATGTCTAGACGGGAGGGCGCAGTGTGCCATGTATCTTTTGGGGTGGGTTTTGGTGAGAGGACGATGGTGCAGGAACGGGGATTGGTGGGGAGAGGTGGAAGCGCGTCGATAGTCGAGATGGAGAGACAGGAAGTGGGTTTTACGATGCGCAGTTGATCGTTCGATCTGATCGATGAACTGGTGTGATGTATCAATGTGCCAATGCGTCCAGGTAAATCTTCTTCCGATGTTTCGAATAAGATTTCTTGATTGGTCCAGAAAATAGGAGGGGTAAGTCCATGAGCCCAGTTTTCTGTATCGTCACCTGCTCCTTGGATATAACCACCCTCACTGATTTCTCCGCCCGAAACCCTGCGCGAAACGGTACAACAAACAACGGGATGGAAGTCTTCAAAAATCTCGCTTGTTTCCGAGATTTGAGACTCCGGAGTCACCCAAATGGGTCTGATGGGTTTGTGAATCTTCTCTCGGAAAGAGTCAATGGGGAGATTGAGAGTTTGAAATGCTTGCACAAATTGAGGGATCAGGTTGGCCATTTGGGCTTGCTCGGAATCGGAAACTACTTGTGGTGGAGCGTAGAGCTTATGAGCGGTTGGAATGTCAGGAAAGAAAACCCGGTTTAGTACGCAACACCATATTGGGATTGTTTTGCTCAATGCATCAGGCATACCTTTTCAGCATTAGTATACTTGGAGCGAAATATAGAATCTAAGAAGTAACTAACGCTTTCCACGTCTAGTAGAATCTACAATAATACATCTGCATGGAGCTTTCAGCCTATGGTCTATGGAAACCTTACTCGAGTACAAACCCATCATATTTACCAATTATCTCTAACAGATGTAAATTCAATCTTCGGGAGCTGAATTTCCAGACTCCGGTATGGCCATCGGTACTTTTGAAGTATGCACTTCCTCCTTTCTTGCTGGGATCAATGTACCAGCTCCCACATCGCTCATTTGCTATAAGTGGTCTATGATATGCATTTGCGACCGACTGGGCGAATTCTGCGTCTTCGAGAATAGATCGAAGCCGGTTATGTATGGACAAAGTACTTCGTTTGATTTCACCCAGAGTCTTTGAGAAGTTGTGATTTGCTTGCTCATTGAAGACAATATCCGCCACTGTTAAAGGCATTTGAGATATCAGCTACTTAGCTATATGTCGCGAAACCCAGCTTAGATTTCAATATGTTGGAGGCGGGAGGGGTATCAAATTGTGTGTTCTCGAAACTCAAAAATTCTGGTGGGGGTTTCATTAGTTTGGGCGGTGAGATGTGGCAAAATTAAATGTTGATTGAATTTCACACAATTCCCAAAGCCGGGAATAAACTCCTCAAAATGGCCTTATTCCCAAACGATGTATTTTGATTCTCAATTCGGATGGATGAGGATTGAAACTCTCGAGGGATTTCATAGATGTGCAACAGATGAGTTGAGAATGCAGTGTTTACCGCTTCCTGGCAAAGCAATTTCCAACCACATCACCGCTGAGTGCACAATCCATCTGCCAAGAAGCTACAGCGTTTACCGGACAATGTTCATCTTCGGATTTCACCAAATCTTATATTCTAGATCTTGTGCATTGGTTGTACACGCTACACATTTTCGAATAAATTTCCAGTACCGGAGAATGTTGAATGAAATTTCGGTCGATCACATCAAAATCTTGAATGCTAGGAATTAAAAGGATGCTCATAGATTGGTTTCTTTTGGAGGACATGATTGAATTTGTGGTGCATACTCCCCGTTCACCGGGAGCCCAAACAACCTGACTCGCGCGCCTCGTGTTTGAATTCTTGAATAGCATTGGATAGAGAAATTTGCGAGATGCTTGACGTTTGAATAGCTAGATGAAGTATCATGAAATTGTGTTGATCATGAAATAAGCGATGTTGTTGTCGGGCTCAGCTTACATTGCCGATGTGCCCAAGATGGGAATTGTTTTTGGGAACAGCATATCGTCAGACATGTGTTGTTCGGTTATTAGATGAGAGGAGATATGATACCATCTACTATGGGGAAAGCGCCAGGTGGAAAATATCCGACCTTGTGCATACCTAGGTAGCTCTAGCATCATGTAGGTAGGGTCTCCTGCATCCGCAAAGACTCAGCCTAGAATGATGACTAATCTATTGTGCCTTGAGAGTGTACCACCAGCTCATGCGATCTTTGGCTGGAAAGGGGAAGGCGACAAATTTGACGGATGGGCTGCCATATGAACATTGATAGACGAGGTGGATGAGATCAGCGATCTGTGGAGTCCTCTATTCGGTTTCATGTGCGAAAGACTTGGAGATTATGGTGCTTCGTGAAGCAATTTGTCGAGAGAGCACAGCATGATATCCCAAAAATGTAATATGTTTCGCCAGCTGTTCTCGCTGGAGTTGCTGGATATTAACAAGATCATCTTCGGCTGTTGAGGAGACTACCCCTTCAACCACCCGTCGGCTTCTACCCCTTTAATTATCAAAATTGACCGTCACAAGACCAAGGAAAAAAAACCTTAAGGTTGAGTTGCATACGCACTGTACCTTACAACTACTGTAGGTAAATGATTTCTCAGCTTGAATGGGCACTCTGCAGCAGCTGGAAAGACTCCCAAGCCATTCTATGGAGTCTGATAAATCTATCACGCATAGCGGTACCGGAAATCAGGAGCCGACTAGCACGGTAGTATCAGCGTGGGGGTCCATTTACTTGCAGATGCAAGAAGTTGATCAAAAGAAAAGTACGAAGAGATGAACATCTTTTTATCTGATCTTTTGAAGAATATCTTCTCCTGGACACCAGGTGTTCCGAGTAGCCGCAAGCGAGGAGGTGAAGAGAGTACCTAGTATGTTGTTGGGTTGGTTGGGTTGGTTGTGTTTGAAGTGAAGTAGAAGTGCAAGATCTCGGGCCGTCAATGTTATTATCAATGTGGGGGGTGGATGGAGCGAATGGAGAGAAGAGTGGGGAAGTAAGTGGAGAAGATTCTCACCGCCAAGGGGTGAAACTTGGCAGAAAAAAGATGAATGGACCAATCAAAGGAATGATTTGTATTAGATGGCTGGGATGAGCGAGTGACGTATGTTTGTGCTCTGTGTGCCGACTGATGAAGACTGATGAAAGATTTTATACCGGGACTCTTTTTTCCATACCTACCGACCATGACATCCATATACAGAGTGTGCACCAATGCGAGAGTGCGAGTGTGCAAGATGTGCATGGTATTATGGTATTATGGTATTATGGCGGATAAAAGATGATAACTATCTCGGTATGGGCATGGGTATGGATGAGTATGGGTATATCGTAGAATAGAAAGGTTTACAGCAAAACTTGATTCATTACTAGGATCTCTCCATCCCTGGCCAAGATAGCTACCTACGGAGTACTCTCAACTCTGCACACCTACATTATTCATGAATGAATGAGCACACCTTGGTAAGGAAGAAGGCAAAATCATCCTTGCCTTAGGTTCCATCTAGAATGCATCCAATCAAATTGATCAATCTTCCAACTTCAGTCCTATGAATATTTGACTTCCTCTCCCTCTTCCTTTCAGATACGATACGATACGATACGATACGATACATACAATAATAATAAATATCATATTCTCCCCCAAGAATGAGATTCAAACACTCAACACCTTTTCCCTTCTCTTCTCTCTTCTTCTCTTCCTTCCACTTGGCAAACAAAATAACATTCCCACACTTCTCCTCCTACGCCGCCATCAATCCGGAGCAAAACTTGCTTTATCACTTAAAATAATTAGAAGTGGAGGCTTCCCAAGGTCTTGGCATCTTGGACTAGAATTAATCGTGTATGGGTAGTGAGAAAGTAAACAACCCTTTCACTCAATCTCTTCGCTTTCTTTCAAACAATAATTTTTTGTTTTTACTTCGAAAATAATCATCATCTCAAAAGCAACATCTGCGAAACCGAGCGGCACAATTCTACGTGCTATCCGATCATTACAAAAAAGGTGTCGGGGAGGAAGAGCCAACATACATTAATAGACGGCGGAGCGGCGACTGGGCGCGACCAGATTTCGAATGCTGCGACATCACGCAATACTTTTGAGGGAATCGACTGATTGGGGTATAACGAGCAGAGACAATCCAACCGATTGAGCTACAATATTTCCCCTCCCCCGCCGTCGACAGTGCCTTTTCGCTAGCACGATATCGTTACCGATACCAATCGATTGCGATTGTTCTAATACATAATCTATACCGATCGACAACCATCTAAGACAGCCAAGATGGCTTGGGATCACCTCTCCATCAATAAACCTCATTTGGTTTATATCATTTTGGGTGGCTTCACCTCATTGTTTATGCTGTGTTCTTCCTTCATCAAGGAGCGCATGTATATCGGTGAAGCCACTGTCGCCACGATTTGTGGTATTATCTTTGGACCACATGCCGCCAATCTGATCGATCCCGACACTTGGGGCAATACCGATCAGATCACTCTAGAATTCTCACGAATTGTCCTTGTTGTTCAATGTTTTGCCGTCGGGGTCGAATTGCCTAGGCATTACATGGAGAAGCATTGGAGGAGTGTAGTCTTTCTCTTGTTACCCGTGATGACCTTTGGATGGTTGATCACAAGTCTTTTCATTTGGTGGTTGATCCCGCCGCTAAACTGGCTGCAGGGACTTTGTGTGGCAGCATGTGTGACGGCGACAGATCCTGTACTCGCTAGTTCGGTGGTTGGAAAAGGAAAATTCGCAAAACGAGTACCGAAACATTTGAGAGATCTTCTATCTGCCGAATCAGGGTGTAACGATGGAATGGCATTCCCATTTATCTACCTTTCCTTATATTTGATTCGATTTCACCTCAATGCGAAAGAAGTCACATTTGATTTCATTGTCATAACAGTTCTTTACGAGTGTGTGTTTGGTGCGATTTATGGTTTCGTTGTCGGATACATTGGCAGGCACGGAATCAAATATGCGGAAAGACACGATTTAGTCGACAGAGAGAGTTTTCTCGTGTTCTACTTCGTCCTTGCTCTATTCTGCGCAGGTTCCGGGAGTATCCTTGGAGTTGATGATCTCCTTGTCGGCTTTGCGGCTGGCGTTGGTTTCTCAAACGACGGTTGGTTTACTCAGAAAACAGAAGAATCTCATGTTTCCAACGTCATAGATCTCCTTATCAATTTGGCATATTTTGTTTACCTTGGCACAATTATTCCGTGGGAACAGTACAATGATATGGAAATCGGAACTTCACCATGGAGGCTCGCTGTCATCGCTATCTTGGTCATTTTCTTTCGACGAATACCAATCATGATGGCACTAAAACCTCTGATACCCGACATAAAAACTTGGCGAGAAGCTCTGTTTGCTGGCCACTTCGGACCTATTGGAGTGGGTGCTATCTTTGTTGCTATTCTTGCGAGAGCCGAGCTTGAGACTGACACTACAACTCCATTAACTGAGTACCCTGACCGAGATGCCCCGAACTGGGAATTGGTAACGGTAATTTGGCCAATCGTAACCTTTCTTGTTATTTCCTCTATTATCGTGCATGGATCCTCTATTGCCGTCTTCACCCTAGGCAAACATATCAATACCCTGACACTCACAATGTCATACACCCAAGCCGGGGACGATGGACCCTCTTGGATGAATCGTCTCCCTCGTATCTCATCGATTTCGAGATCTCAAGCTAAGACAGCAGGCTCGGAGACTGATGGCGAGGATATGAGACTGGATGAATTACCGCCAGGTACCCTGCCACCCGCAGGAGGAATTCCTGGAGGCTTCTTGCGCCGTCAAAAGGAGGAGGATAATCCAAGTCGCGCCAACAGTCGTCCTTCTTCGATAATTCCGCGACGCAGAAAGAAGAAGTGGGACGATGGAGTAGGACCAGGTGGTCCTATCAGCGAGTCGGCCATTTATCCTGCTCGACGAAGTCGCGACTACTCAACTGGACATACATCTGATACATTAACGCCTGGCGAATCTTCGCCCGATAACGAGAAAGCAAACATTGATGACGAGTCAAATGAAGGTGAACTTGGAGAAGTCCAGCACGATCCAGAGATGGAAGAAATCATGCATCATGGCGAGAAGCAAAGGCGACATGATGAGCACATGTCAGATGCTCAACGCAACCCTGACAAGGCGGAAGTTTATGACGAAGGTGATCATATCATAATCGAAAACGAAGACGGCGATGTATTGAAAACCCTCAAAAGTCCAGGAGCCGGGACCCCCCGGGAAGAATTTGAGAATCTCGAAAAGGGAGTCAAGCAAGGGCCAGAGAAAGCCTACAAAAAGTTTGGTAAGATCATGGGTGTTTGGAGGAACAAAGACGAGGCCAAGGAGCATAGCGAAGGAGAAGGTTCCAAAGGGAAGAAAGGAAAGGAGCCTCGCAAGACTCGAGGTCCAGCACTGGCTTATCAGTATGGTAGATCTGTAAGACTATCTTTTTCCCTTTAGGTTGATACGATCCAGTCACTAATGAATTCATAGATTATTGTCGAAGATGAAGATGGAGAAGTCGTCAAAACATACGAATTACCGCCCGACCCTAACAGCAAAGCCCCTAAGTCCGGCGAACATAATGCTGTTCGCCAAGGAATAAACCGCATGGGTACATGGACAGGACTTGGTGGCAACAAGGTAGACAACTCTACCAAGACAGATGCTACAAGTGCAGAACCAGTCCGACAAGGCATAACTCGCATGGGCACATGGAATTTTGGCAAGAATACACCAAACACTGAAAACAAAGAAGCTGAAGAAGATGATGATGATCGTCGTATTCGATTTACTATTGGAGGAGCAGGACGCCGTCTAACTAAGGAAGATTTCTTGAAAGAAATTCAAGGTTTAGATCCCAAAGCAAGATGTGAGATTGTCGAAGAAAGTGATGCACCCAGGGCGATGAAGGACTTGGCAAAGAGAGACGCCAGTGATAAAACAAAAGGGAGCTCACGATTGTTTGAAGCTCAAGATACACAACTTGCTGCTGGTGCACAAACTGCACGGGTGGTTGGAAAGCAAATGGCCAAGGCACAGGGCGCTAGAATTGACGCAATCACAGAAAGCAGTCCAGCAGGAAGCAGCAAGAATGATGTACCTGAGACAGCTGCAGAAAGGAGAAGAAGACATGACGCTTTGAAAGGAGTAGAGGAAGATGAGGAGACAGATGAAGCTAGAGGGCGGGGAAGGGGACGTGGACGTTCTCCTAGTCGTGGCGGTAACGGTCCAGAAGAAAAAGAAACGCCAGCAGAAAAGCGAAGACGGGAAGCAGCTCTTGGAGAAAGCGTACAGAGCGATAGTGATGATGACGATACTCCGAGAGTGCCACCACCAGCTGTACGCAGCAGGGGTATTAGATTTGCGCAGAGTCCTGTGAGAGGAAAGAAGTAGTTGTGGATATATTATGTACATGCCGGCGGATTTTTAATGTTTTTCAAAAGGAGTTGATCTCATGTTACCATATTGTTGGGGAAGAAATAACGGCTTTACTTGATAATGTTGCTACGAAAATCTTGAGATGATACCTATGTAGATGAGCAAACTGGCATTTTCGGAATCATGATTGTTGGGTGTTGGGTAATTTTGAATGGGTGGTTATACATAGCATATGGATTAATGTTATAGAATGATAGAATATTGAGTTAGATTGATAGTTATGGGTGATGTGAAAAAGGATGTGATCGACTATGACATGTATCTGTGTTACGTTATACTCTGAGTGATGATGATGGTTAAATGGGTAATATGGACAACGCAGTTAATGTGTGAATGGAAGAGGATTTCTAGGTAGGTACCTAGCAGTCTTGATTGTGACTCTTCAGAGTTTTCTATCCATTATTATTTATATTTCATCCAGTAGATTCGACATCTTTTTGAAAAATTTCGACGAAAGTTTGTTGTCGTCATTGATGGACAAGGATACCTTGACCAATTAGCATCGTTATCGATTTTATTGGACCCCCACGCGCCTCTTAAATTGCCGAGCAAGTTGAACGAAGAATCATGCGAATTTCGCCTCCAAAAGTTTCATGCTATCAACAACTAGCCACACCTTTCTAAGAATACAGACTGATATCAATTTACGAATGGTCGGCATCTTACAATCATGAGTCAAAATAATAGAAAAGGAAAGGGAAAGGGCAGAGGTGGACAAGCAGGTTCCGGCGACAATTCTAATAGCAATACACCAAACGGTGGTCGACCACAATATATGACTGTTGGACCTGGAAGTGCACCGGAAAGTGCTGCAAGATTACAAGCGCTCCTTGACAATGATTCTGGGTATGGAGGCAGTGTGGCTGGCGAAAGCTCGAATGGGGTTCCATCATGGAATCCTACACTGACACCGGATAGACCTACTCCTCCACCCTCTTCCCTTCCTCGAGGACAATCGAACGAAGTTTCTGAAAACGAGAGACGGTCGCAGGCAAATGCAATACATCAACTATGGTACAATCAACATCGGGTCACTCTTGGTAGATCAATCAATCGTGTGGTGGAAACTTTGAAGTCGTTGCAAGAAATGAACGCACAATGGCCAGCAATCTACCCCTCAGTTCAGCGCGAAGAATCTCAACATCATCGACAGGACCCACGGCCAGGTTTGGTACATACGCAAACTGGTATCAGGTCATCAACACCTGAACCTCGTCCTGGACAAGTGCGACGTGCTATGACGTCTATTGGTGAGGGTAGCAGTAATGCGGAGTCGAGTCAAGCTGCGGAATCAAGATCAACTCCGGAACCCCGACTTGTAACACCACAGATCGCACAGGAGTTTTCTATCTTGAAGTTGGATTTGAAGTTGGGATCCTTACATCAAACCGAGCTGGTACATTCTTTGGAAAAGGCTTCGATCGCATCTCTGCTTGATGGAAAAATTAGTTCGAGCATAAATCATTTACTCTCACTACGAGAACGGATCGAAGATTCTTCGAGTAAAGTTCTAGTGACGGGAGATTTAAACACTGGAAAATCGACATTCTGCAATGCACTTCTGCGACGAAAGATTTTACCAGAGGATCAACAACCTTGCACGAGTATATTCTGTGAGGTTTTGGATGCCAGAGAAAATGGAGGAATCGAAGAAGTACATGCGGTACACAAGGAAACTATCTACGATCGACATGACGAAAGCACTTTTGACGTTTACACGATTCAAGATTTGGAGCAGCTAGTCCTTGATAATGATACCTACACACAATGCAAAGTCTATGTCAAGGATGTACGCACGATTGACGAGTCCTTACTAAATAACGGAGTGGTGGATATTGCAATCATCGATGCGCCTGGTCTCAACTTGGATACTACGAAAACAACTGCGGTGTTTGCTCGACAGGAAGAAATTGATGTAGTCGTCTTCGTTGTCTCGGCGGCCAACCACTTTACACAAACTGCGCGAGAATTTATTTGGGCGGCAGCGGCGGAAAAAGCATATATTTTTATGGTTGTCAATGGATATGATAATATTAGGGATAAGGAACGATGCCAAAAAATGATTTTGGAGCAAATTCAAGGTTTAAGTCCTAGAACTTTCAAGGAATCCTCTGAACTCGTTCATTTCGTATCGAGTAATGCCATTCCTACTGCTGCACTTGGCCCTCCTGGTCCACCGGGTGGAAGTGGTGGCGGAAGCAGTAGTTCTAGTGGAGGTGGCGGTGATGGACCGGACTTCGATGATGGCTCAGATCCGAAAGGAAAGGGCAAAGGCAAGGACAAGGAAAAGATTAGAGACTTTGAGATTCTTGAACAGTCACTGCGTCGATTTGTTCTCGAGAAGCGAGCTAGATCCAAGTTGGCTCCAGCAAAGACCTACTTACTCAATGTTCTAAGTGATATTCAAAGTCTTGCCACTGTCAACGCAGAGGTTGCACAGTCCGAATTGGATCGTGTTACCAAGGAATTAGCAGATATCGAGCCAATGCTCGAGGCTTCTCAAAAGGCGAAGGCCGAAGTCAGCGATGATATTGACCGAACTATTGATGCAACATGCAAGAGTATCTATGATTACACCCGCTCAACACTTAACGACACAATAGCGAGAACAGCTGATGACGATCTTGGTATTCCATATCCAGGACTATTCGGTGCTTTCCAGTATGCTGATGACATCAAGGAAGCTATTATGTCCGAAATATCTGCTACAGTCTCCGCCTGTGAAGAACATGCACGTCGTAAGACAGTTGATGGCGTCACACAGATCAAGCAACTTGGCATCTTACATCTCGGTGATGAGTATACAGACTTGAGCTTTAGAAGCGACATTATGTTCAAGCGCAAGCGCGATATTCTTGCCAAGCACCTTGATATCGAGACTGAGTTGTGGGATTTCTTTGATTTCTCCACTCTACTTCAACGACAAGAGAAGATGGCCGGAACTGGTATGGCAATGACTGTTGCCACTGTTCTCGGCAGTCGTGCAATTGGTGGATTCGGATGGGTTGATGGTGCTCTGTCTGCCGCAAAGATTATGGGTAACAACAATTTGCGTAGATTGGTCGTGCCAGGAATTTTAGCAGGAGGTATGTTTCGCATGATTCTACGTTGTATATTCTTACTAAAACTTTCTAGCTATCGCTGTAGCTTACTACGTCCTGAACCAAATTCCTCAGTCACTTCCACATCGCCTCTCTTCCAAGATCTCTACTCAACTTTCCGCAATTGATTACGTACACTCCAATAGTGATCGTATTTCATCATCAGTACGCAAGGTTCTTCGATTCCCTGCCGATAATCTTCGAGTTGGTCTTCAACGTTCCGTTGAACAACTTGGTACCAAGCGTGAAGAGACCAGAAAGATCAGAGGTGAAAGCGAAGTTGCTAGAAAATATTTTGGCAACTTGGTCAACAAAAGTGCGGAAATCAGAAATAATGTCGAGAGTGTGGATTTGGAGGGACCAGCTCCAGGAGTGGCTGCTGCATACGATGCTTAGATTCTTTGTTATACCCCAATATCTCTTTTTCTTCTTATGCGTCAATGACTGCTTTCTCAGATGAATAAAAAATGGCGTTTTCTGAGCAATTTATTTTTAAAGACAATTAGGGATGGATTGCTGGAACAGGTGATGGATGGGTGGTGATGTGGAAAATGGAAATATGAGTGGCGTTGGTCGTAAGCTTTAGGATTGATTGTATGGCGTACCTAGCTACTTCGGACTCCCCTCTCCACTTACTTTACTCAGTAGAAAAGAAAAGAAAGTAATATCATACATTAAATATGTCATGTGTGAGATGTGCGTTTGTGATACTGCCTCTGGTGAGCTTGTTGCCAGGTACCTAGTATATCAGTGCATAGTGAGCTTCCTAGATGAGTGGAATACCCGGTGAGCTTTTTCCAAATGATTTAGGACTTTTCGAAGCTTAGCTTCAGCGCTCATAGCCCATATATTACTCCCAGTGAGCATGTCTTCAGATTTGAGTTGCATCAAACGAGGATACAGTACAGTCTGTAATTATGGGCCTTAAATATCAGGGTACACTTTAGCCAAGGCTGCTAAGATCCAAGGCTACGATTCTGGGAACGAAGCCGAACCATTACTACATGACGACTTGCGCGGCTGCATCGAACACACACCATCATATAATCCAAATTAATTCACCAACCTTCCCACCTTTTTCCAATTCCCTTGTTCCTTCAATCCCCATAAACACTTCCAATCGCAACCATGAATGTATGTACTTCTCCTCTTATCATCCTCAGGCTCCCCCACTAACCATCCCCCTTCCAGATCGTCGAATGGGCATTTGGCAAGCGCATGACGCCTGCGGAGCGACTGCGCAAACACCAGCGATCTCTGGAAAAAACACAACGGGAACTCGATCGCGAGCGAACGAAGCTGGAGAACCAGGAAAAGAAATTGATTCAGGAGATTAAAAAGAGTGCGAAGAATGGACAGATGGGGGCGGCGAAGATTCAGGCAAAGGATCTGGTTAGGACGAGGAGATATGTGGAGAAGTTTTATAGTATGAGGACTCAGTTGCAGGCGATTAGTTTGAGGATACAGGTATGTGTTTTTTTTTTATGTGTTTTTTTTTATGTGTTTTTTTTTTATGTGTTTTTTTTTTATGTGTTTTTTTTTTATGTGTTTTTTTTTATGTGTTTTTTTTTTACGTGTTTTTTTTTATGTGTTTTTTTTTATGTGTTTTTTTTTTATGTGTTTTTTTTTTATGTGTTTTTTTTTTATGTGTTTTTTTTTTATGTGTTTTTTTTTTATGTGTTTTTTTTTTCATTTGTTCTTGGGTTTTTCTTTTTAGGGGGGGCTTGGGGAGGAGGGGTCTTGGGAGGTGTTTTGGGATGGGGGGAGGAAGAGGGAAGAGGGAAGAGAGTGATTGAGAGAGAGAGAGTACTGATTTACTGAAATAGACGGTACGAACAAATGAACAAATGATGCAAGCCATGAAAGGCGCAACGGGCGTTCTAGGCAGCATGAACCGAAGCATGAATCTCCCCGCGCTCCAAAGAATCGCGATGGAATTCGAAAAGGAAAATGATATTATGGATCAGCGACAAGAAATGATGGATGATGCGATTGATGATGTCACGGGACTGGAAGATGAGGAGGAGGGCGAGGAAGTCGTCGAACAGGTTTTGGAAGAAATTGGAATCGATTTGAAAGCGGCGATGGGGGAGACGCCCCAGGGATTGCAGAGTCAGACGGTGGCGGAGGGGAGGGTGGCTCAGGCTGTTGGGGGTGGTGGGGGGGTTGGGGCGGCGGATCCGGGAGATGATGATTTGCAGGCGAGATTGGATAGTTTGAGGAGGGATTGAGTGGGGGTTTTTGATTGATTGATTGATCTATTGATTAGGGGGGGAGGGATGGAGGGAGGGGTGGGAATTTATGGAATGAGGTCACATGCAAATCCATTTCTGCAAAGGAGAATGATCATCTGTCGGTATGGAAATTGCTCTGGAAACCTGGAATCGAAATGGACAGATGAAATATCGAGTGGAAAGAGTACATGATGTTTGGTCGATCCATACATACTCTAGACTCATGATTCTTTCATTGGCGTTACTCGCAGGATTGTGGAAGGCGTTTCATAGGGGTTGTGGTTTGGGTCTGGTTTGGTCTGGTGGGATGGACTTGTAGATTTTTATTTTTTTAATTTTTTATTGATTTTTGATTTTTTCACTCATGTTTGTTTGTCTTTCTATCTATCTGACTGACTGAATGACTGACTGACTGACTGTCTTTTTCAATGTGTAAATGTAAATGAGAAGAAGCTTAAAAGGATGAGGATGAAGATGAGGATGGGAGTATGAATATATGAATTGAGAATATATGTTTTGCTTGCTGAGTAGATAGATAGGAAAAGTAGTATATTGGTATATTGGTATATTGGTATATTGGTATATTGGTATATTGGTATATTGGTATATTGGTATATTGGTATATTGGTATATTGGTATATTGGTATATTGGTATATTGGTATATTGGTATATTGGTATATTGGTATATTGGTATATTGGTATATTGGTATATTGGTATGTACATATCGTAGTGGCACGAGATAAGTTGTACATGTAACATTACATGTATGTGTGTGTACCTGGCTGTACGTGTGTCTGGTGTAGGTAGGTATCTGTTTAGGTATCTATCTATCTAGATATATGGACCTTGGACCTTGGGCTTTGGGGATTACCTACTTATTGGGATTTTTGGTTGGGATTGCGATTGGGATGAGGATTGGGCGTATGATGTGCAACGCCATTTCGAGGTCACTTGCTGAGTCTTTGTAGTTTGAAGATTGGAGATGTGTGTATGTATGTGTGTACATCTTTTTGCCTTGAAGAGGAATATGCTTGAAGAAGCTGGAGGACTGAGAATGATTGTACTGTACTATGATTACCTTTTCGGGATAGAAATACCTACTTACCTGATAGGATCTCATCTAGATGTTCCAAGGTTCTTTGTGTTGTATATAAGCAATGGAGAATCTATCGTATTTCTAGATTTCCCCAGACTTCTCCTCTTGTTTCATTCATCCATCCAATACTAATAATCCTTCCCACTTTGGATTCTTTCTTTGCGGTCTGGAGTACCCGTGGACCTACCTACCTAGTCATAAGATCTCCATGTTGTCGAATAAGAGGGAGATCTGAAGTATCTACCGAGTAGTTACTAGTCATCGATGAATAGATTGATATGTACCTATGTAGATTGATGAATCATCGTGTCTAATTGTAATTTCCAATGAGGAATACTGGTAGTACTTGTGGATATAAAGGTTATTGTAACATTAGTACTTTCTCAGATTTAATGGATTTCTTTGTATTAAAGTGTATTTATTATACCTTGTGCTTGAAAAGTATTAACACCATAGAGAATTTATAAGTTGGATTTGTATTGGATTTATATTTATACTTACTTATATTTATATACATACTAACTTATATTTATATTTATATTCAATCAATCTTTATTTAAATCCCAGCACCGTGGTCCTTTGTATGATCAGAGTGGATATATATATTACATCTTATATTACATGTCGATATTACCTGGTCTCTGGTATGTGTATCTAATACCCAATTACCCAATTACCCAAATACCCCACGAATCGACCGCAAAAACGATGTCATGGGAGAGGAAATGGTGATCCAAGCTAATTAACTCCCAGTCAGTCTTAACTCAAGTCAAGTCAAGTCAAGTCAAGTCAAGTCAAGTCAAGTCAACTCAACCCAGGAACAAGATCAAGAACAAGAACAAGAACCATAACTCAGTCATACCCAAATTCAATTCAATCCAATTCAATTCAATTCAATTTAACCCCAACTCAACTTCCATTGTACTTCTCAGATTAATCACATTTCATCCCCAATATTGAAATCTTTACGAATCATTATCCCATTCATTGTCTGGTCATATTACAAAGTCAACTACTACCCAACCTACCTACATCTTGAGGGCGAAGCAAACAAGCTACCTCACAAACAAATCAGAGCAAGAACGATAAATTCACACAACAAACGAACCTTCTTCCTTCCTTCGATAACAACCGTCAGTCTCTTTACGAGACACTTTTATTTAAATCAAACAAACTGGCAGGAAATAAGAGGAGGAGCTTTTCCTCCCAAGGAGGTCTGCTCAACAGAATGTTTGGCAGCTCAAGTTCCCCACCAAAAGATTCATCCTTAGCTTCCACCACAACTCCTCCCACCTCTTCCGAGTCGAGCGCCGATTCATCAACAGGTGTCAATAATCAAGGCGATGCATCAGCCGCTTTGAAAGCTCTCGATGGTGAGACTGGCACATCCGAAAAACGTAGCGGGAATGGTAGTCCCCCAGGTCGCGCAATCCCCGGCGATGGTTCTGGAGAGAAGAAACGCCGGAGTAGCGGGGTCGGCGGTAAAGCCAGCTCGTTACTTGCCAGTGCCAAAAATTCATTGCACTTTAGTCAGAGTCCTAATTCTTCCGGATTCATGTCTGGTGGTCGATCGAACGATGTAGTACAAACGCCCTTGCAAAAGCTGGGAAAACAAGATCCGGCCTTGACGGTTCCTCAAGGCCAGCATAACAATTCGGCGGGAGAATCTCGTCCCGGTCCTAGATCGACATTCAAAGTCGGGGTTTGGGAAGATAAAAATAAGAAATGTCGTCGCACGATGGAGGATACTCATGCTTTCCTGTATAACTTTTTACATACACCTGCACCTGTGGTGGGTGCCGATTCGAGCTCCAAGTCGGAAAAGTCAGATAAAGTCGCAAGTGATTCATCAGATAGTCTTGCTCGGCCGGTATCCGCACAATCCATGATGGAGACAGATAATGGTTATTTTGCAATCTTCGATGGTCATGCAGGTACATTTGCTGCAGATTGGTGTGGAAAGAAATTACATCTCATTTTGGAAGAGACTATACGAAAGAATCCGAATACACCGATTCCCGAACTTCTCGATCAAACCTTTACAACTGTCGATGCGCAGTTGGAGAAATTACCTTTGAAAAACAGTGGCTGTACTGCCGTTACTGCGGTTCTTCGTTGGGAGGATAGGATACCAAACGCTTCATCTGCCACGGGTTCTACAGCCATTGCACCTGCGACCGCTGCTGCCGTTAAAGCTGCTGAAGAGACACCAAAGACTGAAGATGGTGGTGAAGATTCGAAATCCACATCACAACAGCCAAAGGCCGTTTTGAATGCCCCTACCGGAGACGTTCAGGCAAAACTCAAAAGTACTTCTTCTCGTGCTAGAGTATTGTACACAGCTAATGTTGGAGATGCACGTATTGTATTGTGCCGTAATGGCAAAGCTTTACGTCTATCTTATGATCATAAGGGTAGTGATGAGAATGAAGGAAAACGTGTTGCAAATGCAGGTGGTTTGATCCTCAATAATCGTGTCAACGGTGTTTTGGCAGTCACTCGTGCATTGGGAGATGCGTATATGAAGGACTTGGTTACGGGTCATCCATATACGACTGAAACTGTTATACAACCTGATAGTGATGAATTCATCATCTTGGCTTGTGATGGTGTAAGTATCTTTCTCATTGTTTGTAAAGAATTCTACTAATCAAATCATATAGTTATGGGATGTCTGTTCAGATCAAGAAGCAGTTGATCTCGTTCGTCATCAACAAGATCCAGTTGCCGCAGCTAAACAACTGGTCGAATATGCTCTCGCTCGATTCAGTACGGATAATTTATCTTGTATGATTGTTCGATTTAATCGACCACTTCTTGTTGCAACGGCAAAAGATTCTCATGCAGCTATTGGCGTTGAAGGTGATGGTAATATGGGATTCGGTACACTTTCCGAAGCAGATAAAATTGTTTCAGAATCTCAGCAAAAAGTTAAAGATGGAGCATCAAATCTTGGCGTTAGTGGTAGCAATAGTGGTGCAGGACATGATCCTAAATTCGATGGAGCCGTAGAGGATGAAGAAGATGAAGAGAAACCTCGGATGGAGAGTGTAGTTGAAGAGGAACCTCAATCTATCGAGGGTGATTCATCGGCTCCGGAAATAGATTTAAATGCTGTGGAGAAGGCGAAAGCGAAGGAGACGGCTGCAAATTTGCATTTACCGGCTGGAGCTGAGAAGTAATGTTTTTTACTTGTGTATATTTTGAGTGGGAGGGGTAGTGCGGGAGCGGTTTTTTCTTTTCTTTGCGGTTTGCTCAGTGATTATTTGGGTTTATTTTGGGAGGTTGAGAGGGATGTGGAAGGGGTGGCAATGAATGGATGGATGGATGGATGGACGGATGATGGCTTGATGAAGACTTATCTGAGTTATGGTTCTGTGACATGGGTAGAGGGATTTGGGGAAGGATGGATGGATGGATGGATGAAAGAAGTTTTTTTTTGCCAACTGATGAGTGGGTGCTATGAATATGGATTTTGGGGGATGGGCGGGGTGGGGATGGGGTAGGGGCAGGGGAATATTAAATTACGCGAAGTACGTACCTAAACAATGATACGTAGCGTAGCGTACCGTACCGTACAATGTATGAATGTTTATGCATGCTTGCATGATTCGATTTGATATGTTATGATATGAATTGAATGGAATGGAATTGAATGGAATTGGAGTGGATTGAATTGAATTGAATATTAGTATTTTTTATTTTATTTCATGTTTTCTCATTATAGGGATGCTTATTTTTGTATTTGTACTTATTTATGTCCCTATCTATATCTATATCTATTTATATATATATTTATATATATATTTATATATATATTTATATATATATTTATATATATATTTATATATCTATATATATTTTCAAGTCTTTCTTATATTCTAGAAAACAAATTTATAGAGTATAAATAAGCAATAAGAAGAAAAAAAAGAAAAAGAAAAAGAAAAAAAAAGAAGAAGAAGAAAAAGTTAGTTTGAGAGAGAGATACGGAAGACGTGGTTCCTACTACGAGTAGGCCCCTAAATGTCTATTTATATTCAATCTAAGGAGCTAGCTAATGAGGGAAATAGTAGGCCTTATATAGGCACTACTGAAAGAGCTAGTCTCCTTCGTTTTTGCCTAAATATCTTTAATACAGTTGTTATTGTATTGAAGTCATTTCCTTAAAGGGAATTCCCTTGTTTATATAATTCTAGAAAACAAATTTATAGAGTGTAAATGAGTATAAATGAATAATAAGAAGAAGGAAAAGAGAGTAAGTTTAAAATTAAAGTTGTATAATAAATATAATAAATATAATCCGAATATAATTCGAATATATTTTATAAAGTAAATAAATCTATATCTATATCTGAATCTATATCTATATCTAAATCTACATCTATATCTATATCTATTTATATTTATATCTATATCTATATCTATATCTAAATCTATATCTAAATCTATATCTGAATCTGAATCTGAATCTGTATTTATCTATATTTGAATCTATATTTGAATCTATATCTATATCTATATCTATATCTATATCTATATCTATATCTATATCTATATCTATATCTATATCTATATCTATATCTATATATCTATATATCTATATATCTATATATCTATATATCTATATCTATATATCTATTTATATTTATATCTATATCTATATATCTATATATCTATATATCTATATCTATATATCTATATATCTATATATCTATTTATATTTATATCTATATATCTAAATCTATATCTAAATCTATATTTATATATTTATATATTTATATTTATATCTATATTTACATCTATATCTGAATCTAAATCTACATCTGAATCTAAATCTATATCTGAATCTATATTTGTATTTACATCTAAATCTATATCTAAATCTTATAATTAAAGTAATATCAAATATCAAATATCAAATATCAAAAACATTAAAAAGCATAAAAACCATCTCATATTTCCAGGTATCCACCCCCTCCCCTATTCACTACAAGCGAGATATATCTACTATACTAAGTGCTCCGAGTTTACTCGGTTCTGATTCCCTCCGTTTCGCTCTTCGCTTTTCGCTGTTCCTATTCCTATCTCCTATTCCTAGGTATTCCCAACAGCATATATAATAAATGTAAATGCAAGTGCATACGTATTTAGCGCATTCGCTTGCACCTACCCCTACCACTTCTCCTCTATCAATAATACATTCCCTCCCAATCAACCAGCTCATATAAGAAGCAATTAACTCCACCACACTCCATTTCTCAATTGACTTTGAAATCCCCCCAGGTATACGCCTATCACCATTCACCCTAACATGTAAACTAATCTCTTATTCCCCTCAATTGTTCCTTCGAAACTATGTACCCAGATTATTTGTCGTTTATTATCCATTATCGTAACCGTACAAAAGTGATGAATCAAACCATTAGACATATCATATGGTCGCCCATAGAGAATCCTTCTTCGCTAAATTGCAAATATCTTGCCATGGCCAAATCATTTCGTATTGATTGTCTCTTTTGAGAATAATTCTAAAGAGCAGAATGTGGTGTCGAGTGAGCTGTTGTTGGGGTTTCATTATAATCTAGATTGCTAGATCCAGTAGCTAGCCCGATTGTATTTGTTCTCCCTGCACCACCATCGAAAATGAATGGCCCCACGTCATTTCTAGGTGTCATTGGTCCTTCACCCGTGAGAGGATCTGCCAATGTAGGATGCATCCCATTTGGACTTGGTGAACCGCGCTCAGAACGAGAAGTGGAGGCGGCACTTGGGACTGGTTTTCTTGCGATTATGTCGACAGGTGATACTGTAGAACTCAAGTTGGTTTGAGGAACCGGTGTGGCTGAAGCCGAACTGGCTTGTGAATCGCTTACGTTAAGAAAAGCTATATCTTCGAGTCTAGTTTCGTGGGCGTGAGCACCTGTACTAGAATCATCACTCGTGTCGAGATCATCTTCGATATGATTCATATTCAAAGGTTCAAAGGTTTCCGGCTCTGGTAGAATTGGTGCGGCTATAGGGTCACTCGTCCGTGGTATAACCGTTTCCTGGGCTGTCGGCTCAGTTCCAACGGGATTGTTTGTATTTGTTGCCGATTCTGATATTGCTTCCACCTCAGCCTCCGCATCAGATGTGGCCAATTCCTCCCAATCTCCATCTGGTTCATCAAGCTCTGCCTCGAGATCTGCGACTGTACGACAATTTGGACATATAAAATGAGGCCAAGCAGGACCATTGATAACAACTCGTATACATTTGTAATGCCATGTATGAGAACATGGTGCGACGAATAAAGATTGGCAGGGCTTGCATATGTTAGTTTAGGGCTATCAGGTAGGAGAAAACGTCGTGACTTACTGCTATAGGTCCCAGACAAATCGAGCAATCTTGCGAGGAACTACTCGAACCACCGGAGGCTTGTTTCTTGAGATTGTTGTTGAGCTCGCGCAAGCGCTTATGAGATTGTACACTAGGAAGAAGATTAGCAAACACACTGGATTCACCATCAAACTAGTAGACATACTTGAAACTGCTAGGACCAGTTTGCCATCCTTTGTTGAGTTCCACTCGTATTTTGACGCATCTAAATATCATTTCCTCACCACCTTTGAAATCTATACCTAATTGAACTATATCGCCATCGTTCACTGGGAATGGTTTTGATTCTGTTCCAGGTGAACTTAATCGTATATGATTGAGAAATGTGCCCGATGAACTTTTCACATCCTTGATAAACCAACGACCTCCCGTGCACCAGAATTCACAATGACGTCTGCTAACCACTTTTGACTTGAAACCCACTGGTGCAAACGATGGCACATTCGTAGCATGAGGGGGTTGATTATCTCTTTCGGAATATCGACCAACTTTTATAATTTCCTTTCCTGTCGGGAGTGTTCGACTCATGGTACCAAATACGAGAGATGGACGATGGGCTCGAGGATCTTGATGCGGAGAGAAACGAATCGATGGTAATTGATGCGACATGGTTTCCCTTGTTGATTGGGAAGTGTTCTCTCCCAAGTCATTTAGTAGAGGCATATCTGCTGCCCCTCCTGTTCCTGCAGATCTAGTTCTTGCCATCGACGCCTCCAGACCAGAGGTTATCGCAGATGAATCGTTGGCCGATAAGACGGCTGAAGAGGAGGCAGTCGCGGTAGGTTGTGGCTGAGTTGCAATTCTTGATACTCCGCTGTGACCTCCCACTGTCGGTAACCACCCACTTGTCGATCCAAGATTTTCTTGATTATTCGAACCTGCAGAAGTTAATTCGGGGGGATTTGTGGATCTTCGTGCAGTGGGTGAAATTTGTCGAGGAAGAATTTCGGTTGTAGGAGTTGCAGGAGTTGCAGAAGTTGCAGGAGTTGCAGGCGAGGCTGCAGAAGAGGCGTGAGAGGGTGCGCTCGCTGACGTGGGGGATGAAGGTGAAGGGTAACTTGAGGTGTGTGAGAGTGTGGGTCGTGAATTTTGATGATTGCTATTCGAATGTGTATTTGAAATTGTATTTGAATTCGAATTTGTATTTGTATTGGAAGAAGTTTGATTGTGGTGTTCCCTCGATAACAAATGATTTTGGGTGTAACTTCGCAAATAACTTAAACCTCGTAGACGACCTCTGGTTGATGATGATGTGGTGGGAGATGTTGGGGTTGTAGTTGGTTGTGGGGAGATGGGTGAGACGGTTTGTGGTGCACTTCGTTCTCGTACAATGGGTGATGATATTGAAGTGGTTGGGTTCCAGGGCGAACTAGGGAGCGAGGAATACATGGAGAGAGAATGTGAAGCACGAGGATGAAGTTAATTCTCGACTTTTATTCTTCTTGAGGGAGGGGGAGAGATGGAGGTGTATCTTGGTTGAAATCAATCGATGACAATGTTATAAAGAATGAGAATTTGGATTTGTTGTATTTGAATTTGAATTGAATTCGAATATAACAAAGGATGATGATCGAATTCAAGACAAGTGATGATAAAAGAAAAGAAAAAACCCTTGAATACTAGGTAGGTAAATTAACTACCTAGTAGTAAAAGAGATTATGTATGGAGAGGTGGTAGGTAGGTAGTCGATGTATGGTCTCGAGATAGTGTGTGTGATATGTACGGTATGTAAGGTATATACCTGGTAATCCCGTACTATCACTACACTATGTGGTAGTCAAAGAGTTGTTGATGTTGAATCTGG